TACAGAGAAGGGGATCAGAGTGGGGCAATGCTGGATCCACTGGGTGGGTGACTATTCTTTCTGAGCAGAACACTTCTACAGGTAGGCGGGGGATTTGGGTGGATAGGTTAAAGTTCTACTTTAATCATAGGCTATGAATAAGGCTTATTGTAGAAACTGGTAAGCCAATTTACCTGTACACTCCACCTAATATAAACAGGTGGTGCACACATCTAGTGCATTATCCAAGGTTTATTCAAAGGTATAAAGGATAAAGACATACTCACAGATGAAGCATGTATCTAAAAAGCATTTGCATTATGAGGATGGCCACAACGACAAGCAAGGTGTTCCAACTGTGTCCAACGCGTTTCGGGGACGAGTCCCTTTCCTCAGAGCTACTGACCAGCCTGTATGAAGATCAAGCAGTAAATAACCATGGCTAAATGCCTTGGGAGCAGAGCTCCACCTCCTCTACTTGTTATAGGGCGAGGAGTTGGAGGGGGTTATTTAAAGTGCAATATTTGGTAATTTATATAAACATATACATATACACATATATATATATATATATATATACATACATACATACACTAAAAGTAAAAGCGAATAAAGAAATAAATGAATGCATAATTTGTAAATATAAATTAATAAAAATAATAGTAGTAATAATACTGTCAACAATGATAAAAATAGAGGTAAAAATTATATATATAATGATATATTTTAATTGATATCATAAAATTAAAAATAAATATAAAAAAATAATAAAGAATATAATAAAATATAATAACTTTTTTTATTTTTATATTTAATTTAATTTTATGATATAAATTAAAATATATATAGTCTACAGCCACACACGATATATTTTGAACTGCAAATCATCTACAATCCACTACGTCTTATGATTTTCTCTTTTATTATCTCTATTAATATTATTTTTACCTCTATTTTTATCATTGTTGACAGTATTATTACTACTATTATTTTTATTCATTTATATTTACAAATGATGCATTAATTTATTTCTTTATTCGCTTTTACTTTTAGTATATGTATATATATATATATATATACACACACAGTTGCAAGAAAAAATATGTGAACCCCTTGGGATTACGTGGAGTTTTGCATGAATTGGGCATAAAATGTGCTCTGAACGTCATCTAAGTCACAACAATAGAAGAACACAGTCTGCTGAACATAATACTACACAAACATTGGATGTTGCCATGGTTTAATTGCACATAACATGTAAACATTCACAGTGCAGGGAGGAAAAAGTATGTGAACCTTTGGACTTAATAACTGGTTGACCCTCCTTTGGCAGCAATAAGCTCAACCAAACGTTTCCTGTAGTTGCAGATCAGACCTGCACAACGATCTGGAGTAATTTTGGACCACTCCTCTTCACAAAACTGTTTCAGTGTAGCAATATTCTTGGGATGTCTGGTGTGAATCGCTCTCTTAAGGTCATGCCACAGCATTTCAATCGGGTTGAGGTCAGGACTCTGACTGGGTCACTTCAGAAGGCGTATTCTGTGCTGTTGCAGCCATTGTTTTGTTGAATTACTTGTATGCTTTGGGTCATTGTCCTGTTGCGTCACCCATCCTCTGCGGAGCTTCAGTTGGCGGACAGATGGTTGTACGTTTTCCTGCAAAATGTCTTGATAAGCTCTGGAATTAATTTTCCCGTCAATGACAACAATCCGTCCAGGCCCTGAGGCAGCAAAGCAGCCCCAAACCATGATGCTCCCTCTGCCATGTTTTACAGTGGGGATGAGGTTTTGATGTTGGTGTGCTGTGCCTTTTTTTCTCCACACATAGTGTTGTGTGTTCTTCCCAAACAACTCAATCTTGGTTTCATCTGTCCACAGTATATTTTGTCAGTAGTGCTGTGGAACATCCAGGTGCTCTTTTGCAAACTTCAAACGTGCTGCAATATTCTTTTTGGACAGCAATGGCTTCCTCCGTGGTGTCCTCCCATGTACTCCATTCTTGTTTAATGTTTTCCTTATTGTAGATGTGTCAACAAAAATGTTAGCATGTGCCAGATATTTCTGTAGGTCTTTAGCTGACACTCTGGGATTCTTCTTTACCTCATGCAGCATTCTGCGCTGTGCTCTTGCAGTCATTTTTACAGGACGACCACGCCTAGGGAGAGTAGCAACAGTGCTAAACTTTCTCCATTTGTAGACAGTCTGTCTTACCGTGGACACATGAACATCAAGGCTTTTGGAGATACTTTTGTAACCCTTTCCAGCTTCATGCAAGTCAACAATTCTTGATCGTAGGTCTTCTGAGAGCTCTTTTCTGCGAGGCATGGTTCACATCAGACAGTGCTTCTTGAAACCAGTAAACCCAAAACAGGTGTGTGTTTTTTAAGGGCAGGACAGCTGTCAGCAACACATCCAATATCATCACACTGATTGGAGTCAAGGTTGGCTCACTCCTGGCTCCAATTGGCTCTGGGAGAAGTCATTAAGCTAGGGCCTCAAATACTTTTTCCTCCCTGCACTGTGAATGTTTACATGTTATGTGCAATTAAACCATGGCAACATCTAATGTTTGTGTAGTATTATGTTCAGCAGACTGTGTTCTTCTATTGTTGTGACTTAGATGACGTTCAGAGCACATTTTATGCCCAATTCATGCAAAACTCCACGTAATCCCAAGGGGTTCACATACTTTTTCTTGCAACTCTACAGTCATGGCCGAAATTGTTGGCACCCTTGATATTTCTCCAGGAAATCATGTATTTCTCACGAAACGTATTGCATTAACACATGTTTTGCTATACACATGTTTATTCCCTTTGTGTGTATTGGGACAAAACAAAAAAAGGGAGGAAAGAAAGCAAATTCGACATAATGTCACACAAACCTCCAAAAATGGGCTGGACAAAAGTATTGGCACCCTTTCACAACTGCGGATAAATAAGAATGTTACAAGCATGTGATGCTCCTGTAAACTCACCTGGGGCAAGTAACAGGTGTGGGCAATATAGAAATCACACCTGAAAGCAGATAAAAAGGAGAGACGTTCACTTAACCTTTGCATTGTGTGTCTGTCTGTGCCACACTAAGCATGGACAACAGAAAGAGGAGACGAGAACTGTCTGAGGACCTGAGAACCAAAATTGTGGCAAAATATCAACAATCTCAAGGTTACAAGTCCATCTCCAGAGAACTAGATTTGCCTTTGTCCACAGTGCGCAACATTATCAAGAAGTTTGCAACCCATGGCACTGTAGCTAATCTCCCTGGTCGTGGACGGATGAGGAAAATTGATGAAAGATTGCAACGCAGAATAGTCCGGATGGTGGATAAGCAGCCCCAAACATGTTCCAAAGACATTCAAGCTGTCCTGCAGGCTCAGGGAGCATCAGTGTCAGCGCGAACTATCCGTCGACATTTAAATGAAATGAAACGCTATGGCAGGAGACCCAGGAGGACCCCACTGCTGACACAGAGACATAAAAAAGCAAGACTACAGTTTGCCAAAATGTACTTGAGTAAGCCAAAAGCCTTCTGGGAAAACGTCTTGTGGACAGATGAGACCAAGATAGAGCTTTTCGGTAAAGCACATCATTCTACTGTTTACCGAAAACGGAATGAGGCCTACAAAGAACAAAACACAGTACCTACGGTAAAATATGGTGGAGGTTCAATGATGTTTTGGGGTTGTTTTGCTGCCTCTGGCACTGGGTGCCTTGACTGTGTGCAAGGCATCATGAAATCTGAGGATTACCAAAGGATTTTGGGTCGCACTGTAGGGCCCAGTGTCAGAAAGCTGGGTTTGCGTCCAAGATCCTGGGTCTTCCAGCAGGACAATGACCCCAAACATACGTCAAAAAGCACTCAGAAATGGATGGCAAAGAAGCGCTGGAGAGTTCTGAAGTGGCCAGCAATGAGCCCAGATCTAAATCCCATTGAACACCTGTGGAGAGATCTTAAAATTGCTGTTGGGAAAAGGTGTCCTTCCAATAAGAGAGACCTGGAGCTGTTTGCAAAGGAAGAGTGGTCCAAAATTCCGGGTGAGAGGTGTCAGAAGCTTATTGATGGTTATAGGAAGCGACTGATTTCAGTTATGTTTTCCAAAGGGTGTGCAACCAAATATTAAGTTAAGGGTGCCAATACTTTTGTCCAGCCCATTTTTGGGGTTTTTGTGTGACATTATGTCATATTTGCTTTTCTGCCTCTGTTTTATATTTGTTCCAATACATACACAGGGAATAAACATGTGTATAGCAAAACATGTGTTAATGCAATACCTTTTTTGTGTGAAATACTTGATTTTCAGGAAAAATATCAAGGGTGCCAACAATTTCGGCCATGACTGTATATATATATGTGTATGTATTTGTTTATATAAAATACCAAATATTGCACTTTAAATAACCCCTTCCAACTCCTCACCCTATAACAAGTAGAGGAGGTGGAGCTCTGCTCCCAAGGCATTTAGGTATGGCTATTTACCACTTGACCTTCATACAGGCTGGTCAGTAGCTCTGAGGAAAGGGACTCGTCCCCGAAACGCTTCAGCCATTTGACCGCACTGACAGTTGGAACACCTTGCTTGCCGTTGTGACCATCCTCATAATGCAAATGCTTTTTAGATACATGCTTTGTCTGTGAGTATGTTTTCATCCTTTATACCTTTGAATAAACCTTGGATAATGCACTAGGTGTGTGCGCCACCTGTTTATTCTTTATCCAGTGGCTGATCTCCTCATCTGCGGAGGGCTGCACCCCTGAAGCATTTCCTTTGATTGTCGCTGTCCTGGTTCCCTTGGGTTCCCTTTGGCTGTGGATTTCCTGAGGTGCTGGAGAGTACATACGAACTCCACCTAAGTAAAGGAATACTTCAGAAGGACAAGTTCACTCCTTACTTTCAAGCTCTAAAACAATCTTTAACTAAATAACATCAATGCCTTGTAATACAATGAAATGTTCAAAATAGAGAGAATATAATATTTCATGATTTGTTTTAATTGACTTTGTTTTCTTACATTTCAGCTCCAGAAATTCTGAGAGGATGTGCTTATGGACCTGAGGTGGACATGTGGTCTGTGGGTATAATTACCTATATACTGTAAGTACTAAAATATGTATTGTTATTATTATTATACAGGATTTATATAGCACCAACAGTTTGCTCAGCTCTTTACAGTATAAAGGGAGACAATACAGCAACGATACAGTTCAATACAAGAGAGTTAGGAGGGTCCTGCTCCTTGGAGCTTACAATCTAGGAGGGAGGGGCTGGTGGTACAAAAGGTAATAACTGGGGGGGATGGACTGGTTGGAAGAGTAGAAGATTCTGCTATTAGCTGAGGGCAGGATAGGCTTCCCTGAAGAGATAGGTTTTCAGAGATCAACTTATAGGGGGCAGAGTAGGCGATAGTTGGATATACTGGAGTAGAGAGTTCTAGAGGATGGGGGAGGCTCTTGAGAAGTCCTGGAGGAGGACAAGGGAGCTAGAGAGCAGGAGGTTGTGCAAGGAGTGGAGAGTACGGTTTGGGTGGTATTTGGAGACAAGATCGGTGATGTAATTTGGGGCAGAGTTATAAATGGCTTTATATGTTTATTGTTAATGTTTTGAATTTTATCCGTTGGGCAATGGGAAGCCAGTGGAGGGATTGGCAGAGAGGGGTGGCAGATACAGAACGGTTAGTAAGGTGGAGTCTGGTAGCAGCATTCATGATAGAATGAAGAGGGGATAGCCTGTGATTCGGTAGGCCAATGAGGAGGGAGTTACAATAGTCAAGGTGAGATTTAACAAGGGAGTGAATAAGTTGCTTAGTGGTTTCCGAGGTTAGGAACGGGCGTATCTTGGAGATGTTGCGGAGGTGAAGTCTACAAGATTTGGACAGTGATTGGATTTGGGGCTGAAAGGACAGATGGGAGTCTAGGATTACACCTAGTACCCTGGCATGAGAGGAGGGACTCATGGTTGTATTATCGATCTTGATGGAGAAGTCAGGGGAGGGGGCACGGGCTGGGGGGAATCTTATTATATTGTTATTATCATATTGTGTAGTTTTTACATATTTAAAGTGGTATTAAACCTAAAACCACAAATGTAATATATTGCTGCTTACCAATTCTTAAATGTGGTGGTTGTATTTGTTTTATTATTTAGGTTTTTTTTTCCCTCTGTTTTCACCCGACGATCTGGCCAGTAACACACCTCCTGTATCTGAATGACTAATACGCGTTAATAGCATGAGAGGGGAGAGTTAGATGCATCAGCAGATTTAGATACGCAAACTCAGGATCACACTGCACTTACAGCAACAATTTGTTTTACCTTTTAGGATAAAGGTTTTATATGAATAAATAAAAGCTGATTGTAAACACCCCTGTCAGTGGTAAATGGTTTGTCTCAACGCTGTAAATGCTACATTTGCAGGACAACTTGTTCTGTTGAAATATGACTTACTGGCAGGAAAATAAAGGAAAGAAAGCCTAAAAAAGAAAACTAATGTAGCCACCATATTTAAGAATCGGTAGGCTGCAATATAATAAATGTTTGCTTTTGAGTTTAATACTACTTTACTGGCTGAAATTGTGAACTGTTAACATATAAAATATGGCAGTGGTTGGTGCTCACCAATCTTGTTTTAGGTAATCATGTGCTTTGCAACTTCACCTTCAGCTCTTCCCAGCTGTGTATACTTACCTCCCTTTTCTTTAATGGGATCAAAGAAAGTTTTAATGCAAGCCTATGCTTTGCCCATTCAAGACAAAGCAACAGGTTTACTCTAAATCCGTGCTTGATATCATATGCTTACTTTGCCTTTGCCCTCTTGCTGCTCTGTTCAGTTTAGAGAGATGAAAGAAAATTAAACATGTCCAGAACTAAAAAATGTGTTCAGTTTCGGATGGCTTCATTAAGTTACTAATTTCTTTGCATTTGTAATGAAATTCAGTTTGTTTAGTTTAGCCTAGTTTATTTGTTTTCAACTGGAGTAAAACACTTTCAAGGGGTTTGAAGTATTTGACTCAAATTTTAATCACAAATATCCAATTTGAGTTCATTGTGAAGAATAGCTGGTTCTATTCTATTCGAAATTTGAATTTTGAAAGATGGCTATATTATTTCTATTGTATTTGTTTCTATTCTATTCTTTTATTTTCTATTATTTTCTATTATATTCTGTTTTACCTCATACTTTTCTATTCTGTTTTATTCTATTCTAATCTTTTCGAAATTTGAATTTCAGAAGACGGCTATATACTTTCTATTTTATTCTATTCTTCTTGAAAGTCAAAATTCGTATTTCGGAGGATGGCTATATTCTTTCTATTGTATTGTATTCTATGTATTAAAATTCTATTTTATTCTATTTTTTTATTTTCTATTCTAACCTATTCTGTTTTCTTCTATTCCTTTATTTTCTATTCTTTTATTTTATTTTCTATTCTATTCTGTTTTATTCTATTTTTTTAAATTAAAATTTTGGACAATGGCTATATTCTTTTTATTGTTTCTATTCTATTCTACTCTATTTTGTAATTCTATTCTATTTTACTCTATTCTTTTCTATTCTATTCTTTTCAAAATTTGAATTTCGGAAGACGGCAATATTCTTTTTATTCTGTTGTAATATATTCTATTTTTTCTATTCTATTCTTTTACTTTCTATTCTTTTCTATTCTATTCCTTTATTTTGCTTTATTATGTTCTATTCTTTTCTATGAATTTCTATTCTTTTCTATTCTATTCTTTTTTATTCTATTCTTTTCAAAATTCGAATTTCAGAAGATGACTATATGCTAATACACACGGTCTTTGAAGGAAATCACACAATAGTCAGCAATATGTTTACATTTCAAATTTGTTTTCGAATTCGATTTCATTTTTAAGTTCGTTTCAAATTTGATTTGAATTTCATTCCTTATTTTGGATTCAAATAAATTCAAAAATTAAATTTAAATTTGGATACATCCAAATCTACGAATAATGAAAATTTCAATTGAATTTCGATTTGCAGCAAAATGAACTGCACATGTCTAAAGGAAATACCTGGTCTATTCTGACAACTGAGGGGATCATTTTGGCCACACCATGATGAAAAAGTATTGCACCCACAACCTGTGTATACCCACCTGCCTGTGGGGGAAAAGGGGGGAGTAAAACATAGCTGATCTATCTGTTTTTACACCTCTCCCCCAACCATGAGTGTAAAGTCAGCCTTATATCTCTACCATAGTAATCACAATTCACATCTACGGCCATTTAACTCATAGAATTATCACCTGTCCCAGAGATAATGGCACCCTGGTGATTAGAATATATATAATTAAAACAGGATGATTACACAAACTTTTTTTTTTTACCTCCCTTCACGATATTAAACAATCAACATCTGCCTTGAAAACCCCCATGGTGATTAGAATAAGGTGACTGAGTTAATTGTGTGGCTATTTGTAGTGAGATCATGACACTCATTACAAATGAAGATTGGATAAGCAGTGATACGCCTTAAGCATTGCAGAACAGGTCCTGATCATTGTTACTAACCACTACTAGCTATACATGGCTCAATTCACTAAACAATATCTCATTGTATCATGTGACACATTTTCTCTAGTTATCTCATGAGATGCTGAAAATGGCAATTCACTATCACCTTATGAGTTGTTCACCTCGCAAACTAAAAACACAAGGTAAAAAAACTCATAACACGACGTAAAGTCAGTTCACTAAAGGAAATAAGTAAATAAATGCATGAGTTAAATAAGTAGTCGTCCAACATTAACCACTTGCCCTCCAGAGGATTTACCACCCCTTCCTGACAAGGCCATTTTTTTTCAATTTGGAACTGCGTTACTTTAACTGATGATTACGTGGTCATGCAAGGCTGTACATAAATTACATTTTTCCTCACAAATAAAGCTTTTTTTTGGTGGTATTAGATCACCTCTGCAGCTTTTATTTTTTGCACTATAAACAATAAAAGACCGACAATTTTGAAAAAACAAACAATATTTTTGATGCTTTGCTATAAAACATATCCAATAAAAAGATTTTAAAAAATCAAATTTCTTCAAAATGTAGGTCAAAATGTATCCTGCTGCATCTTTGCTAAAAAACAAAATCCCAATGAGTGTACATTGTTGGTTTACGTGAAAGTTATAGCGTCTACAAATGGCGGTATATATACTGGAATTTTTATTTTTATTTTTTTTTTATACTAGTAATAGCAGCAATCAGCGATTTATAGCTGGACTGCGGCAGGCATTCTGACACTGGGGGGAACTGACTAACTGCCACTGACTTCTTCAGTGATCGGTGCTAATAAAAAGCACTGACACTGAACTAATGACACTTGGCAGGAAGGGGTTAACATGTGGGATGATCAAACGGTTAGCAGTGTGCTGTGTGAGTTTTACTTGGTAGACATGCTGCTGTGTATGTTGTTTACACACAGATCTCTCCCTTCTCAGCCCTGCCAACGATCACAACATCCCCTCTCTGCAATGTTGGACATCTGTCAATCAATCTCTGTCTTGTCTTACTTGGTGCAGAGTTTGCAAAGAAACCTTGAGCATCTGGAGAACCAACTACCAACCAAGTATAATGTCTCCACACCCATGGGTCCCTCTGCAGTCTTAGATATAATTACTCAGACAGAGCTCAATACAATTCATGGAACTCCTCCTCTGCTGGAACCCCGGGTGCCTATGCCTGAGCATTTCACAGGAGACCGCAGGAAGTTCCAAACCTTTCGTAACTCCTGCAAGCTATATTTTTCTCTGCTCCCAAGAACCTTTGCATCACAAAGCACCAATGTGGGATTCATTATTTCACTCCTTCAGAATGAACCCCAATCCTGGGCACACCGCCTTCGTGAGCAACATGATCTGGCTCTGACTTCAATGGACTCTTTTTTCCCAGCGATGTCACAACTTTACGCTGATCCCTTCCATGGTCAGACTGCAGAATCTATGCTTAGCAAGCTACAGCAGGGCCCAAGGCCTATAGAGGAAAATGTCACTGAGTTCCGTATATAGAGTTCTGACACTCAATGGAATGAGTCTGCTCTCCGCTATCAGTTTCGTCTTGGCCTCTCTAACACCCTGAAA